TAGAATTTAATTGATTCCCAAATATACTATTAATACTTGACAAAAAACATCAAGTATTTGGAGTAGGCAAGCTTTCAGCATCTGAATTTTCTTTCAGGAGTTATTGTGTCCAGAGTGAAAAGTCCAGCACAATGTCCATATGCATAGGTGTTCAATTTTTTAAAAAAAAAAAAAGGGGAAAATAAGTTTTTGAATTCTGTTTATCAGTCTGGTTTTTTTAAACATTTCTACTTTATATAATTTACAGTGATTCTATACATATTAGGAGCAATAGAAACTGTAGAATTCAGGTAACGCCAGCATTTACAAGTGTAAAAGTAGTACATTTTTCCATTAATATAATTTTTGTATTTATATAAACAAGTGTTTCATGATATCCAACAACATCTGGTATAAAATACGCTTCCTTATAATGGAGGAAAAAGCATGTGTTTTTGCAATTAACCCACCTAAAATCATGTTACCAAATAGGCTTCAGCTTGACCACAGATGCTGATCAGCAAGGTGCTAATCCCACCTTTGTTTATAACCAACAGAAAGGTGCAACTGTGATCTCCAACTCCCAGGTGCTGCAAATCTCTGAAGTGAATTTCACACTGCTTTTCACTGCTGTGCACATCACTCTAAATGCCTGATCCATATAGTCCCAATAGAAAACAAACCACAGCTCTTTAAAGATACTACAAGTGTAGCAAGTAACACAAAGTTCTTCAGTTCCCTCTTTGTCAGAGGCAGCAGTAATTTGAATCACACTGCCTTAAGCTGCTAAAGGAGACATCAGTGATCTATTTTATAACAGATGGTGGTTTCTAAAGGTGAGGGTTTAAATTCCTACATCATTCATCACCAACAAACTGTAAAAAAAAAAAAAAAAAAAGAAATTGTGAACCAGAGCATGTTTTAGCAAAATCTTCCCAGCAATTCAATAGACAAAAGTTTGCATGAGCTACTCAGTGATATTACACACACATATTCACGTCAGGTGGTCAGGGATTGGAAAATCAATTGCTGCTTGTTGCACACATATTTGATGAGTTGCTCAATACCCTGAACGTGGATCAGATTACTAAACCTCTGCTTGATGTTGTAAAGATATTTCTTCTTTCCTTTATGTCATGTGGCATTATTGATTCAGTTTACTAGTTTCTTACAGAAGCACTGAAGAAGTGTTTCCATCCACCTGCGCCAAACTGAGCTCCAGTTCTGCAGTTATTGATCTCTTAAAGATACAAATCAATGTTTCTGTCATGACAATGAACAGATGACTGAAAAGCAGATAACCTGTTTTTTGCTTTAACAAGATTTAATGACACACACTTAACTTTTATGTCTCATTATAAAGAGCTTAACAGAATAACTTTTTCTTTTTTCATTCTCATATCTAATAGTTTTCAGTAATGAAACTGTAGATTCTACACAACTGAATAAAACCATTAAGGTGACCTAATGGTTGGTCACCTGTGGTAAAATCACCACAGGTAAAAGAGTTGCTGGTCCTCTGCTAAACCTTAAACCAGTGCCAGGTATATTCCACGTGCAAAATGGAAAACACTGGCTGCAGTCACCCTGCAGGGACACAGGTAACCTCAGCTGGTGAGCAGCAACTTGTGATCCTACAGATCAGGTCCATTCTGGCTAATGTCACATAATTTTACACTCCCACAAAAGCTGAACACCAGTAACTCTATCTAGTAATAGTCAGCTTCAGTAAGTTTGGTCTTGGAATTTGCCCAAACCTACAAGTTCAACCCAGTAAGCTCATTAAAAATCTTGCAAGCTGTGGTGGGGAGGCCCTTACTGAACAACACACTCTTCCAGACACCAAAACCCTCATGTGATTCAGGCTCCCACATTTCACTGGAGTTTGTTGCATGGTAGTATCTCAGGGAAATGTCGCTCTTCTATGTCTACAAACAAGGTGGCTGTCCACCAGCACGGAGCACACCCAGAGAATCGGGAACACCATGCCTGCTATCCCTCCACAGGACAACCCCATCTCCCTGTCACTGCCCCCGCCTTCCTCCACCCAAGTCTGAGTTAATGATTTTCCAAGCAGATGGCTGCTGCTGGTAAGTAGATAAATTATAGCCAGCAGAAAGCAGGAAGTTTAGGAACACTGCCATGGTGAAAAACTGGATCCTCAGGAAACAACATTATATATAACTTAACAACACTGCATCTAAAAAAAAAAAAAAAAAAAACAAAATTTTTAAAGCCCAGTCTGCTTTACAAAGCAAGCTAACAGTTTCCTTTCTTACGCCTGAAGCTTTGCAATCACTATGTTTCTGAACTGTATTTTTTCATTAGTCTTATGCTTCCAAATATAATCTATTATTTGGCAGCAAAGGCAGCAAAACATTTGTTCCCTCTCAGTACAGCTGCAACCCATTGGATTTAAAAAATGGTATTGGCTATCCAGCAGTCCTCTATCATGTTGATTTTTCCATGGAAACAGCATTATATTTTCCTTTGGGGGGGAGGGTGGGAACAGGATGAAGAAATACATTTCCAGTGTTTTTTGCTTTTCCCGTTCTCATCCACCTACACACAGATAGAAGGGATTAGACTGGACTCCCCATGAACAATACTTGATAAATACCTATTTTTTCAAAATATCACACAAATACACACTTTTTTTTTTTAAGGAATTTGTTCCTTAATTATATGCCTGTTTTTAAAAAAGGACTTCAGCGATCTTTTGCTATATGGTCACAAATGTTTCTGAATAACCTCCGGAAACAGAGGCTATTCTGAAAAAAAAAAACAAAATTCTGAGGCAAAGCCCAAAGTTAATGAACAAAAATTAAGAAACAAAAACTAACAGAAAAAAGGGAAAAGTCAACTTCAAGCACTTTTAAGTTGACTGAACTATTTCATTGTGGCTATGAGACAAAAGTGTAGAGATTTGGTAGTAACATTATGTCTTTCAGTCAGAAATCACAACCTTAGAAACTATGAATCAATATAGATGGCAAAATTATTGACATTTCTATTTTCTTTTTTTTTGCTAGGGAAACACTAATTGCAATAAGCAGAGCTTGCCACCCTGGTAAATAAATACCTCCTCGGTTATGTACTACATCCAGTCTGGAAAGAGTTCTCTTCACACAGCAGTAACTTAAATGTTTTGAGACTTGAGCTCTGATACTCCAGTGAATTACAGATCATCATTCCTTCTTTGTAGTTGCATCATAACAACACATATTTCAAAAGTGCTGAAAACTAATTTTGCTGAAACTTTTTACTCTCTGCTCTTTCCTTTGAATTCTGTATTTCAGTCTATTAGGATCTATGGTCAAAAGGTAACTGCTTCACTTGATTTCTTCCCCTGCTCTTCTGCTTGAGGTCCCATTGACAAGACACAGGGGTCACATAAACCTGAATTTCTGCCTGGATTAATTTCATGCCAAAAGTCTTACATAATGAACACACACTTAACAGCTACTTTGTTTAGCACCATGGATTTTGACTGACTTATTGGATGAAGCTGTTTCTAGTGTGTTATGCAACACTAGAATTTTCTTTTCATATCATCATCATCCCACTTCGGAATAAAATTTCAAGGCTTCAAGAGGTTTCTCCACTTGAGACACAGAACCAGAGCATAGGGAAAGGAAGACATTCCCACCTCCAAGTAGAGACCAGCTATGTGCTGTTTATTCCCCTACAGCTTATTGCTCCAGAGTTTTACCTTTTTTTCTTTTTTGTCCTTTTTTTTTTTTTGAACCTCATTGTAGGTGAAAGCTACAAAATAATTTAGACCATACTTTTGTGTAGCACTGGATTTCTATTCTGCAATTTCACTGCAACATTAAAGTCCTCCAGGACAGAATGATATTGCTCCTAAGACACCATCATGTTATACAGAGATGAGCAAAATCCAGCATTACAACGAGGCCTGAAACCTTTAGAACCTTTATTAAACTGACATTATTTACTTGACTGTTCATGACCTTTTGTAGAGTCTTAGTACTTCATTAAAAGTAAGTTATTCTACTGTTTGACAACTTCATACTGTTAAGAATATACAGTTATAGCCTTTTCTATGGTCTCTTTTCTTCAATTACCATTTTTTGATAGCTTTACATCCTGGTGTATTTCTCAAAATCATTGTCCAATTTGCACAATTCAAATCACTCTGCTTTTTGACCTTGCTTCATCTTCCACAGTAGGAACACACTTTAATTCCCCATAATCCTGCTGTGTTCATATTCTGAAGTGACAGAACTCAAATGTACGTAAATGGCAATCAAATCCTCACAGAGTTTCTGAAACTACTTCTCATTTCCTAATTACCTTCCCTGCTTTGCTTGCGGTTCCCATCCGTTACCACCCCTCCCCAGCAGCACACTAATTGTTGTGACCCCATTTCCCAGGACAACATTAGGTACCCAATGAGGTGGCAGTGCCAGTGCTCAGCCAATTTTCCTCCCCTAACATGTTGTCAACAAGATCATAAGTGTTACTGAACAAGTAAGCAAACACTTCGTTATTCCTGGCCCTCCAAAATAAATCAAATCCATCACATGCGTAATTACTACAGAAAACCAACACAGCCCCAGGAACAGCCTCCTGCATCCTCATTTTTACTTGGACTTACCTAGTACAGAAGTTCTTTGTGGTTCTCACTAATGACACCTGGTTTGCAATCTCACCTGTGGTATTTATCCTGAGTAACAAGCTCTTGTTTATTTACACTTTTATTTTACATCCTCAGTACTGATTTAATAGAAGCAAGTGAAAAGTAGCATTTGCTACATTCTGTGCAAATTTGTCTGCTGTAACAGAATCATAGAATGGCTTGGCTTGGAAGGGACCTTAAGGATAATCTCATTTCAACAGCCTGCCACAGGCAGGGAGACCTTCCGCTGGACCCAGCTGCTCACAGCCCCATCCAACCTGGCCTTGAACACTTCCCAGGATGGGGCAACCACAGTTTCTCTGGACAACCTAATCTCTCAGAGGAACTCTGATTACAAAAACTGTGTATATTCTCTTACCTCACACTGGTGGCCCATCACAATACCCAGTATCTCCTTCAACAGTAGCCAAAGTTTAGAATTATTCTGAGGACAGACGTGTATAATGCCATCACTGTAGGAGACACTTCATGGTAGTTCTGCAGTGAAAGCCAGTTTTAGTGTTTGAAGTATCAATGAATGTCAGGAGCAACCTGACAGTTATTGTTTAGTCAGATTGTTATAAAATCCAACACTCAGTTCCATTAGACAGCATTCCCTGGGCAATAAGCAAACCCTCATTAAGCTATGGCTGTATTTTGCAGCTGTTAATAAATCAGTTAGCATCACTACAGGACAGGAAAGCTATTTTCAAGAGATGACTATTTCAATTTATGTTTCCAATACAATTAACACAGGATGATTTATATGACAGATAGAATGGACCAAGCCATCCACAGGTTGGGAATTTCAGGTTTGTTTCTCTGGTTGATTTGGTGTTTTGATTGCTGGGTTTTATTTTATATACCTAATTCTCAGAACATGTGTACCAAACAAGAGTTGTTTAAAAATAAATAATTAGGAAAAAAATGGATTCCAAGTTAGATCTTCACTACTGGTGTCTTTATTTTTTGCACACCAATGGGACACTTCTGAAGAAGTGTTATTTTAGAAATAGGTTAGCTATCTAAGGATCCATTCAAATGACAATTAAAATTTCTGTTAGAACAGTTTAAGGACCAGCTTAACTGCTGTTAATTTGCACATCTTTCTAGACTGTTGCATGAGAGTTCACCTAAGTGTTATTGAACTTGAGTTAAAATAGTAGTTTAAATAATTTACCTTATTTCACTAGAGAGGAAAAAAAAACTGATAAGGAAGCAACTTACAGAAATTTAAGCTGCTTGTAGCTGCAAGCAATCACAGGAATATACTCACATGACCAGTCTTCATTGTATAACAAGCTCCATAGAGATTGTTATTAGTCACAGATAATAATTCCCACTGTTACAGAAAATTTGTGCTCAAAATAGTACCTCCCAAGGAAAAATTTCATTGCAAACACAATAAGACTTGGGATGACAATCCTCAAGTTGGGGAATTGGGAAGAAAAATTGAGAACTTGCCCACAGTCATCTGTCATTTAAGGAAAATCAACAAAGTAATCAGAGCTATCTGCAACATAATTTAGAAGATACAATACTACAGCAGGGGAGAAATACCTTTTATGAACTATAGAAAAATGAACATATTTACCTTTTTATGTTCAATTATAAAAGTATGGTTTTAAGATCACTCGAAGTATTAATGGGCTCCAGATTTTGGCTCTAACAAGTGAGAAACTGATTTTATGGCTTAAATGAAGGAAAATTTTTACAAGATACATTAGATAGATTCAGAAGGAAAATTCACATATTAGATAGCAAGTTCATCACTACCTAGCAACAGAAGCAACTTTAAATATGTAATCTTAGCTCCACTGTGCTCTTATCAGTATGGTTTAAAGTGTGAAATCTCATTAACAGAGAACAACATGCTTCCCAGGGAGAAAGAAGCACATTTAGTATTTACTACAGAGGACTAAAAAGAATACAAACAAGAACATTCCATTGCTGATAATTCTTAACTTGCCTAACTGAAGAAAGCAGGTACAAAAAGGGTTGATGGAGCTATCATCAGGGGGCAGATGTTACCTTATTAGCAAATACGGAGTGGCACCTTAGCTCTCAGTTTCCAAGGCAGGTCAAGATCAAAGACCTGGAACTGGGCACCCTGAGCATAACTAGGAAAGTAAATAGAAGCATAGATAAAGAGGAATGTGCTTATTAGTATGTTTTGTTCCTTTAAATCCAAGGAAATTAGCTAGATACATAGTAAGGACAAAAACCAAAGAACATGTTCTCAGCTGAAGATTGAAATGTCTGTATTAAAGTAGTATTAAGCTGCCTTTATGACCAACTCACTTTCATATATCTCCACATGATCCATTAAGAAACATTCTTCCAACAGATAAAGCAAGTCACCACATACCAAGCTAAACACCAACAAAACAACTAGTAAGCACATGAAGTTGATTCATTGGAGTGATTCCTGAAATGTGATCATGTGGACAGAACTACACTGCATGGCTGATGAAACACTGCTTAGTTCAGCAAGATCACTTTGCCTGTAACACTTTTATCAAAACATATGTACCCCTAGTAGGTGATGCTTTTACTTGAACTGTTGTAGCAGCAGGTGCTGTATCTAAGAAACCCAAATGGCTGACATGCAGTGTTAAGTTACCCATGTTATTGTCAGATTCAAACTAGTACAACCTGAACAACTGCCTTTAGCACCCATGACTCTCTCCATGGAAAAAGGTGTCTAATATATCAAGTTCACAGGAGTGAGAACTGTACCTCCTGACCATTCCCACCAGTGGACACACAGTTTCACATCTCTTTCACTACTCTGGATTCATTTTGGATGAAATTAAGGCATGGGGTGTGCTCAAGTAACACAGCTGACATATCCTAATTACTAAACTGTTTTTGAATCTATGGGACCAAACTAAAACTAGTTTTAAGTCAGTGTTGCCTTCCTACCCTAAATTCGGAGATGTCATCTGCAGTGTCTTTCTGCACAGAGCTGCTCCTTCTTCACCACAATAGCTGCTAATGGTCACAGTCAAAGTTTGATTGTCTTCTGGAACATCTCCAGAATTGATCTTGGCACAATTTCTGCAAAAAAAGCAAGCCTGTTTCAGCAGGCACTGAGCACAGGCTTCAGCCATCTGGATGGACTTCATCAGTATATTGACAATAGATGCTAATATAGTTAAAAGTAATGAAAGTGCTTGTGATTATTCTGCTTCATTCACTAATCTTGTGTTGCTAAGAAAAGTTATTACTGTATTGTTTAACGCTTACTCCTTAAAAATGGCACTTGGATGAAAGGCCATCCCAAGAAGAGGAACTGGTTTGCACTTTTCTGTTAATATAGGTTGCCTTCACAGCTGCACCTTTTCCCATTTAACTGTCTCACAATATCATGAAAATTCAGGCCTTGGAATTACAAACACACCTTTGGTATTTCTGAAACAAGTAGCCACTGACTTGTCCCAGTGCTTTCAGCTGATTACATCATTTTCTTGACTTTAATTAGCAGAGTAAGTTTCTTGTCTATTGTGTCTAAAATAATTCAACATCTAAGTTTTAACCAAATTTGAAACTAGTCCTTTATTTCATCTGAGACTGAGCAGATCAACAAGTAAACAGTTTGGGGCTTACAGCTGACTGAAGTACAAATTCTGATAATTCACAGTTATCAACTGACCTTTTCACCCAAATAGACAATAATTAAGCAACTCCTATATTGTCACAAGGAGAAATGCACAGTCTTAAAAAATGCTTTCAATTTGAAAGCATTTTTCTCAGTTCAGTGAACTTTATTTACAGAGTTCTTGATATTTTTCTGGACCTTTATTTTGTACTGTTACTTCCTTAGCAAAACATGGTAGCTTCTTGTCACTTGAAAAAAAAAAAAAAGTTAGCTGTCTCTTATCAGTAATGCAGGATTATTCATTCCTCTGGATTCAGTCTATTTGTTCTGAGTTTCATCAAATGAACTTTTCGAAGATTCATCATAAGGATTTTTATTATGTTTACAGTTGCTGAAATAGTTCAGTTTATTACTAGTGCTTGCTGTTGAAAGGCTGATATTTCAGTTTAACAGGTCTATCAGTTCTCAAGTTTGTAACAAATATCAGAATATAATTTTAAGGTTCATATTTTTCTACTTATTGGCTTTGCATAGGATTTTACAGCTTAAAAAAAGTATGATATTTAAATCATGGATTGTGTATTCAGAACACACTTGTAAAATATGAAAATGAAATAAAATGAATGGGACTGTAACACTGTTTTTTTCCAATGTGAATAATATACCTCTCTTTTACCCTAAGCTCATTTATTATCTTGGGTAATATTACTTTACTCATGGGCAAAAAGATTTTCCAGTTGACTCTAGTCACACATGAAAGTTTCACTGTCAGTCCTGGTCAAGATAGTTTTAAAGAAAAATTGAATCAAGATTTTTTGACATCAGAACTTAGAGGGAAACTGGACTATAACTGGAATTGTAAGTGCAGTAATCTAAATGATTATCATTCATGTTGTAGATTACTGCACACAGTTTGAACGCCTGTGTCCCCATTCCCCCCCTACTCCTACCTGAAAAATTGGTTTCCTCTCTCCTTGTGTTGGTTCTTGTCCCCTCAGCCTGTTCTTGCTCACCTGCCTATAAGGAAAGGAAAGACAACTGCAAAGTATCACTGTATTTGCAGGTCTGGATATCGAATCCTAGAAAAATTTGGTTTGGAAGGGGTCTAAAAAATCATCCTGTTCCACCCTCCTGCCATGGACACGGACAAATTCCACTATATCACATTATTCAAAGTCCCATCCTACCTGTCCTTGAACACTTCCAGGGATGGGGAGCCTACAGACTCTCTGGGAACCTGTTCCAACGCCTCATCACCCTTACAGTAAAGAATTTCTTCCTAGTATGTCATCTAAACCTATCCTCCTTCAGCTTAAGGTCGTTCTCCCTTGTCCTATCACTACATGCCCTTGTCACAAGTCCCTCTCCAGCTGAACAGCCCCAACTCTCTCCGTTTGCTTGATAAATCTGAAGTACTGTGCACACCATCGTACACATCATTTCTTTTAAATATATACATAGATATTTACTTTTCTTTTTCTTGATCGTGACAAAGGTCTACGCCTACAGCATTCTTAGACAGCACTTATCTGAACACAAACTCTCCCTGACCCAAACCCCACTGCACAGGATTAGAATTAGAAAAACCATACCCTACTTGAAAAATATTTCATCCCACACCTCTCCTGCCACCCACCTCTCCCGCCTCACTCCTTCTGACTGCTGGAAGCGCTGTTGTCACCGGGAGTGACGCTCTGCTATTCCCCAGGAGCAGTCCTCCAGCAGCTCCTGTCATTCAGATGATAACTTAAAAGCCCCATTATGTTAGAAGAAGCAAGTGCTTGAAGTTTCATTTTCTCAGAAGGAAACTTCTACAGGGTGAGAAAAACAAAGAGACTTGTCAGCTAAACCTGTATTAATAACCGTTTGTGTATAAATTTTGA